TCAATGCGTGTGACGTCAGTCAGTGCGTAATCAACACACGTGACTCGACTCCTTTTCTTTTACGTGTGACATCAGCGGCACGGTTCTGCTTCTGCTGTAGCAAAACAACCTGGCACCTCCCGAACCGTGCCAGGCTGGCTCGGCACAGCCCCGGCATGGGTCCGTTGTAAAATGTTAGAGTGGTGAGCCGTTGTTGGGGCAGGAACCTGCGCAGAACGGCCGGGTTGGCGTCCGTGCCACGTGCGCCCATGAGGCTGAGGACGGAGCGCTGGCGTGCGAGTCGTGCTAGTGCCTCCACCAGCTGCTGTCTGTGGACGCCACCGGCGACGGCAACGTGAAAGGACCGCGCCACCAACCTCAACTCGGGTGCCGGCAGCACGGACAGAGCTTCACTTACGTCCGTCAGCTCAGATTCTGTCAAACAGGATTAAAAAATAACAATTAATTTCGGTGCTCAGTCATTAATTATTGCACCAATGATTGCCTAGTAGCAAAATCATCATTATTAGCCATGATCTATCCACTTCTAGATGTAAACCTCCCTAAGTTGTTGCTAACCCAAATTTATTCATCCATCCTACACAATCCATTTAAGAGTAGGCCACGTGTGCCAGCGTCATGGTCCATTTTAGAAAAAAATACTCACAAATTGCTTAAGTTGGTAAAACCACATCGCAACATTACTACCTACTGGCAGATTATACGTCTTGCCGCGATTAGAATGGTGCAATACAATTTGTACTTAAAGTCTTATCAACTATTATTATGAAGCACACTGCATTCTCTATAAATTAATCAGAATGCCGCGTGGCTCGGTCATGTGCGGTCTGGACGCAGGATCCTGGTTTGCAGGGCACTGACCGGACTGCAGGAGCTCCGAGCTTATCAGCTCGTCCAGGGCAGCCGTGAGGTCGGCCGCGATGCGCGCATACTTGAGTGTGACCGTGGGCAGCCAGCGCACCTTCCTCTGGAACAGACGCACGTACAACTTCTGGGCAGCTTCTGCAACAACAAAGATCATGCGTATAGCCCGCGTATAAGAACTAAGTTGTTACAAACCGTACCATAGAGCACAATCGCGAAGCTGCAATAACAATCTTGCGGAAGCACCCAATCACATTATTTAAAATATTTCCTGAGATTTACCCAAGAAAGCGATTAACCTCGTGTGTGACGCAGGGCGCTACGACACCTGAGAGGGAATGGAATTTGTCGATGATGGCCATGTCTTCGTTGTTGAAGAGCACCCGGTCGTGTTCGTGACTCATCACGGTGCGGAGCACCGTCAGGAAGTTCTCGAGGTATAAATCGGGGCGCCCATCCCCCACGTCTGCAGACACACCGTCGTCCTCGCAGTCATCCTCGCCCAGCTCGCCCTCCTCAGGCTCCTCCTCTCCCCACGTGTGGGCTGCCTTCTCAGCGGACGGCCGAGATCGACGTTCATTCGACGTCTGATTCGCTTTATTGCCATTGGTGGCCTTGGGCAAGTTTGTGACACCGGGCCCGCTTTGACAAGACACTCGCGATGCCTTTGTACCCAAAGGAGCTGTTGCCGAAGGCTGCTTCCTCAAAGAGGGTGTGCGTACTAATTTGCAATCATCCGCGATGCCCTTGTTATTTGTCACTTGCCTAATCTTGGCTGCCGAGCCTGCCTCTCCTCTCCCACTTTCTTGTTTTGTCTCTGAATTTTGCAGTGGCTCCCTAAGCTCGATGGGCTCGGACGCATCTTTTCCAGGTATAATAGCTAGCGAGCCACGAGCAGCCACTTCTTTACCCTGAGGAGGCAGTGTTTCTTTGAAGCGATTGATCGTCTTCCTTGTACTACGTCTCAGTTTGGACGACTGCTTCATTATTTTGCATTCACGGTCTGATGCCGTTAAGTCAATGCAGGCATCTTCGGGGTCACTTCTTTTTCCAGATCCCAGGGATTGCTCCCTATGGCATACGACTGCCACCTTCACGTTTTCTTTCTGTGATCCACTGGGCTGACCTTCAGGCTCCACCTCAGTCTCTCCCAACCATTTGCCAGCATCAACATCTCCATCATCATCAAACAGCCTTATACAAACACTTCTTTTTGACGAGCTTCCACTTCTCAGGAATGTCCGAGACAGCTTGGAGGACAGACTCCTCCTATGGGCAGCTCCTTGGCTCTCTTCTCTCTCGTGCCCAGCCTCTGTCCGCTTGAAGTATGGACTCATGTGTGGCTTTGCAGCAAGTGGCACCGTGTGCGTTTCCTGCACGCTGCCATTGCCTCGCTCTGCGGTTCCAGGTGTCTTGTGCGTCTCAAATCTGCAGGAGTCCAAATCCGGATTCTGTAACTCATCATCCTCATGTCTTGGGTGATTTGGCGACCTTGCCAAAGCATGGTTATCATTCCTGGCTCGCTTGGTCTTTCGTCCAGTGCTTTCCCCACCGTTGCCCCCTCTGTTGGGGCTTTGTTCAGAGCCCGAGGCCTGGCACAACTGCTTGGGAGGCGAGCGGGGTCGGAAGAAGGCGAGTATGGATCCAGCCTGTGACGAAGTTCCAGCGGCTTTGCGCTTCTTGCCTCTGCTGAGCGACATTAGCAATTACAGCATGGTCAATCTGTGCAGTCGCCACTAGATTTGTCATTGACACATTTATATTTACACGATCTACCCCCCCCCATCCCCTTTGTTATGGACTACAATGACACCGTTTGTGCAACGGTGGTCACTGCCATCCCATGCCTGTCAACACCTTATCAGTGCCCCTACCTTATTACAGACCAATTCAGACCTTACTGGTCACCCCGTGCCCTTATAAATCTCCACGTTCATCCCTACTACAAAGTCCCATCACAAGGGAGAAACACAAATAGAGACCAAAAAAATATTTTGCCTGTATTGAAACGGCTGTAACGCCATATGGACCTGAAAACTCAATTTCCCTGTACAAGACTACGGGGTAAACACGGTATGGGTTGGCAGGGCATGCGAGACGGGGGTGCGTGGGCCGGTGGTTTGCTGGCACTACAGATGTTAAACAAAAACAACAGCCCTTGCTCAAGACAAACTTAGCGCTTTTAACCCGGCAGCGTACTTTGGCATCGCCGTGTCTGGCCGAGACGGCGTGGGGATCCCAACTCCAGCTGCGGGCGAGGTCACCTGCAGCTGATGATGATGAGCAGGGCAGTGCTGATGATGAGACAGAGCAGTGCTGATGATGAGACGGAGCTGCTGATGATGATACAGAGCAGTGCTGATGATGAGACAGAGCAGTGCTGCTGATGATGACACAGAGCAGTGCTGATGATACAGAGCAGTGCTGATGACACAGAGCAGTGCTGATGAGACAGGCAGTGCTGATGATGACACAGAGCAGTGCTGATGATGACACAGAGCAGTGCTGATGACACAGAGCAGTGCTGATGATACAGAGCAGTGCTGATGAGACAGGGAAGTGCTGATGATGATGATGATGCAGAGCAGTGCTGATGATGATTCTCTTGTTCATTGGCGCGTGCCCATCATTGATTGCGGCGCGCTGATGATGAGTGACATGCAGTCTGCTTGTGTCGTATTACAGCGCGTGCTGATGATTATGTAGATCAGTACTGATGATTAATTGGCGCGTGCCGCTGATGAGACCGAGCAGTGCTGATGAGACAGAGTGCTGATGATGAGTCAGAGTGCTGATGATGATGAGGCAGGGCAGTGCTGCTGATGATGATGAGACAGGGCAGTGCTGATGATGATGAGACAGGGCAGTGCTGATGATGAGACAGGGCAGTGCTGATGATGATGATGCAGAGTGCTGATGATGCAGAGTGCTGATGATGAGACAAGAGTGCTGATGATGATGAGACAGAGCAGTGCTGATGATGATGAGACAGAGCAGTGCTGATGATGATGAGGCAGAGTGCTGCTGCTGATGATTAGGCAGTGCTGATGATGATGAGACAGAGCAGTGCTGATGATACAAAGCAGAGCAGAGCAGTGCTGCTGATGATGATGAGGCGGTGCTGCTGATGATGATGAGACAGAGCAGTGCTGCTGATGATGATGAGGCGGTGCTGCTGATGATGAGACAGAGCAGTGCTGATGATGATACAGAGCAGAGCAGAGCAGTGCTGCTGATGATGAGACAGAGCAGTGCTGATGATGATACAGAGCAGAGCAATGCTGCTGATGATGATGAGGCGGTGCTGCGTTCCGACTGCTTCTGATGTTGCCGGTATTTTTTTGGCGCGAGTTTCACGTCGCGCGCTGATGATGCCGCGTGCCGCTGCTGGCTATGACGTCATGTCACCCCCCCCTCCACCACCACGCCCCCACCCCCCCGCCCACAGCGGAGACGTCACCAGCAAGCGTCAAGAGCTCGAGTGAGTGACACTGCGTTGGTATTTAAACAAGTCATAATTTAAAAATGTATATAAATGTATATTTTTATAACTGTAGAAATCCGCAGAGCTATAAAGATATTTTTCGCACATGTCCAGGAGGCGCACGGAGTCAGAACGTTACAACAACAAACGATACAAAAACACGTTTAGGAGTGCAGAGTATATGAAAGGTAAACAAATCACTTAAACATCAAGTAAATACATATTCTCTGAATCACTCACAAAATATGATTTCATCGAGGCCCCGCCCACTCACATGAGACCACGCCTACTCTCCTTGGGACACGCCCACTATACGTGTGGGCCCCGCCCACTATACGTGTAAGCCCCGCCCACTACACTTAAGCCCCGCCCACTATACTTACAAGCCACGCCCACTACACTTGGGCCCCGCCCACTACACTTGTGTGCCACGCCCACTATACATGTTGGCCCCGCCCACTATACTTGTGAGCCACGCCCACTATACTTGTAAGCCCCGCCCACTATACTTGTAAGCCCCGCCCACTACACTTGAGCCCCCCGCTCACTTCGCCGAAGAGTCCCCCGGGCCCACTCTACATAAGCCCCGCCCACATTTTGACGAGACCACGCCCCCTCCACCCAATCCCCGCCCACTCGCGGTGACGTCACGGCCCGGCGGTTCACTTCACGAGCGGCCTGTGAAGATGGCGGGGGCGGAGGAGGAGGCGGAGGCGCGCGACTTGGTGCGGAGAATCCTCAAAGACATCGGCAACGCTTTCCGCAAGAACCCGGCCATGTGCGTCTCTCTCCCGCGCCTTCCCCCCCCCCCCTCACTTAATCGCGTGCGTGGTCGCTGTTGATGTCGCGCTGCTGGTCGTTCGTGGCGCTTGTGATGATGATGATAGGGTCTGGGTTTGTATCGATTCTCTGGAATCGGGTGGTTTTGTTAAGCCGACGAGAATCGATTCCCACGACTCTTTTTACGTTGAATGGGTTTCGTGTTTCGATAAGAGTTTTGGTCGGTTCGTGCATGTTGCGCTGTGGTAATTGTGGTTGGCACGGTACGTGAAGAGCGTTTAACCACCGTGGATTGTGCATTTACTCGAATGCAATGTTTTGTAAGAAATCGATTCCTATTTCGTGCGGCAGTCGCGAGGAGTGGAATCGACGCTCTTAGGCGTGCGCGCCCCGTCTCCTTGGGTCGTGCCCAGTTATTTTTACTCTTTGTTTTAATTCCCTTATTGTTACGTAACTCGCCTTGTGCGTGCGGGTTTCACTCGTACGCGTGTCTGTGCTGCGATGCCGCGTCTGACTTTGCATTGTCGCAGCGTGACCAAAGACTTAACAAGAAACATGTTGACCGCGAATATCAGAATATTTCTGCTGGAGGAATCCGATGAGCCGTGAAGCTCTTTTCCACAGCTAGATGGGCTTGAGACTGGTGACGGATTTGCGGTCAAAAGAGGTCGCCCGCCGTGGAAATGTAATAACGAGATCGAAGAGCGATTCGCGACAAGCGTAGCAAATACAGAAGATTTTATAAAAAAATTGGCCCTGCCATGAGAACGTGGAATGCCATCGCAGGTGTATAGGCCCTCCGGCTCGAGTAGGACTAAAATGTAACAGTGACAATTTGAAATGGTTTTATAGTTAACACTGCCAACGCTTTCTAACTCGGGTCGGATGGGTGTATGCACGAACTCCTCGCCCAAAGTGGTGGAAAAACAACGACCCTCTTAATGGGCCCATGTCATGGCATTTACATTTTAGGTAACGTTAATTGTTTAACCAGGTGATAATTCTAGAGACAAAGGCTCATTAGTAAGCGTGACATATTAGGTAGGGACTTGGAGAAATCCGGTTCCATTGATCGAAGGTTTCCGCAGAGCCGCTGTCCGATATTCTCGACAAACGCATGTTGGAAAGCATTGCCGAAAACCGTTCATATGCGTGGGTTTTGTGGTTAAACGTTTATTCTTATTTTACAAGTAAACACATTTGTGCCGCCAAGTAGTTTTTCTCGTCTCAGAAATAATCGCACTGTGCTTACACTCGCTACCGTAAATGTAATTTTGGCCATGTCACAGGATGTGTTAGGGCTTAAATGAATGGCGCATCAGTAGCCGTTTGTGCATGTTTTGCCATTGCCCATGTCATTTAGGTCATATTCCAAACATTCTTTTATTATTTAAAACACTGCATCTACACGTTATGTAGAAGGCACAACTGCTCAAAGATATCATCCAGTGTTGTAAACTCTATGTATGTTTAAAAAATAATTTAGATAAACAACCCCATAATTTGTAACAACTAAGAGGCATTACGTGATTTAACGCATGTTTTGAGTTTTATAGACCTGCTGAGATGCGTATGTCTTGTTTACAGGGATGTCAACCCCCACAGGGAAAATCGTTTTTGCTAATTAGCCGTTGCTAGTAATTTCTGATTCAGCAAATTTGGACCATGGTTGCATCAGAGGTGGTATTTTTTTTATTGAGTCAGTAAAGCACCTACCAGCCTATTGCAGTTGTCAATCAAGGGTGGGTATTGATAACAGACGTTAATTTGTGGGAATTGTGGACACTTACTAACCAGGGATTTCTAAATTTTCCATTTATATTTTAAGCAACATGTCTATATTACATGTCTGCATGTGATGATCAAAATTACGGAATGTTTTGGCATGTTTTAATTTTCTCATATATAATATATGATATTTTTTGTCTCATTCCTTCCATTAGCCTAAATATAAAATTTTCAAACGGGTAGTATACATTATAAATATTAGATTATTACACCCACAATTTGAATCTTTTATTTTAGGCTTATTAATATTTTTTACAGATAAATATTTACATGTCTCGTAGCCGAGGGCGGCATGGTAACATCGGACTGCTAAAACTTTTGCTAGCCTTAATAGGGGCTCACTAACAGCACAGTTTACAACACTAAAACCTGTGTACGGGTGCCTGCATGTGATATATTATGATATGGTGCATTTCCACACATTAAATATGCTCCATCGCCCTTTCTGTGCTTGTGTGTGATTTCTCGTATTTTTCTCCGACGCCACCGCCGTCACTCCAGTGATGAGATTGGCGTGATCCCCGTTTCGGAGGCTCGCTACAACCGCAGTCCCGTTGTGCTGGTGGGCAGCAAGCTGGGCCTGGAGAGCTGGTGCATCAAGCTCTTGGTGCCCCATGTGCACGGGCAACTTGTACACTTCCGTCAGCGCAAGATTTGGCCAGATCAAGACGGTGAGCAGCGCTTCCCATGCTCAGCCGTGGAGCTTTAACCTCGTAGAGTACTGTTTTTGGTTTCCATATGCTGTTCTAAGCTGTTTTTGTTGAGCAATTGCAAACAACTGAATTTGCCTCGAGGTGAATGTATGTATGTTGAACTTCTTTTGCACCGTATATAGCCAACCGTGCTCATCGGAGGTGCGGAGTGTGGCTCTCGCAGATTCCCATGTATAGGCATTTCCCCCCAACTCTAATATACGTTTCGTTTTTACCATTTCCTCTGTTGGGCTGCTCATAATGCTTTTACATCTTCCTGTTTATCCTCCGTAGGCCTGGCTGAACTGACTCACACGCTGCTGCTTCTTAATCCTGACTGCACTACAGCATGGAATGTACGGTGAGGACACTCAGTGATAACCAATCAATGAATGTGTTATAGACAGTTTTTGTGAGCTTCGGATTGCTTTGCTTTTTATTGTAAGACAGCACAGTTTTATGTGCACTCAAACATTTTTGTGATGTGTGTGCCATAATGTTTAAAATGGTGCAAAATTTTAGTAATATTTTATAGGTAGGAATATATTGGAATTAAAATAATGTCATGATGAAATGGAAAATACTTTTTAGTAATTGGGCCAAGAGGAGTGATGTTATTATGGACTTTTTAGCCGCACTGAACATGTACAGTCTTGATAGTCATTCCAGGCACAGCCGTGTGATTTTTTTTTTCCCATTGTAATGTGTTGCCTTTGGTGTAATGCTCCTCTTGTGATGCATATGTCTAATTCAACCCCACATACTGTATTTCCAGAAAGGAACTCATCGCAGCCAATCTCTTGGAGCCCAGGAAGGATCTTCGTCTGGGCAGCCTAGCCCTCACCAAATTCCCAAAGAGCCCGGAGACCTGGATACACAGGTTAGCCGTGCTTACATTGATCAGTGAACGTCAGACGGCACATTTCCATTTCCAGTCGATCGTAAACTCAAGCATCTTACCCGCTGCTCGGGAATACCAATTCAAAAACCGCCTTATCCTTTCTTGCATGCTGACGGTGTGCGTCGACAGCTGCCGCGCCTCACTGCGCTGCATTGTTACAATTCTCCCGGCAGGCGATGGGTATTACAGAGATTGCTGAACTCTCAGGAGCGGGCACGAGCATCTGCAGATGACGGCGACGAGTTTGCGGCGGCGCGAGCGGAGGCTGTGTGGCACTTGGTGCAGGGGGAGATGAGCGTGTGCCGCGCTGCCGCCGAGCGCTACCCTAGCAACTACAACGCCTGGTCCCACCGAATATGGGTCCTGCAGAACGTGGCTCGCTGCAGTGTGAAGGTAGGAGCCGTCCACCTCTTGCACACTTTTAGCACTTGCGGCAAATAGAACTTGGCATATTATCAAACAAGCACTCTGCTCGGCAGCAATAATTTTCGTTGTAAAAATATTCCGTGAACTTTGCTCCATTTGTAACTGAGCAGGCGCTGCTCACTGAGCTCGCTGCCACCGAGCCCTGGGTACGGACGCACGTCTCGGATCACAGCGGCTTTCACTACAGGCAGTTCCTGCTGAACTCGCTGGCCGCCGCCACCTCCAGCGCCGGGGACCCCACCCGTGTGAGCCCCTTGTCAGAGACGGCGCAGCAGGCCGGCGAGGGCCCAGGGGCCGCCCTGGCAGAATCTGGTCCACAAAGCGACACGGTGGCCCTGACGACGCTGCTCCATCGAGAATTCGACCTCTGCACCGACCTCATCCTTGCTTACCCTGGCCATGAGACGCTGTGGTCTCACAGGTACTTTAGGGAGTTCCTTAGAACGGGGTCCTTTATTGAATATCTACGCGCTCACAATTGATGTACATTACTGGTAGATGAAGGCCTTCTCATGCCATGTGGGTCTTTTTGATGATACTCCATCCTGCTGTCTGCGTGTACTGTATTTGAAAGTGTGGAATGTAGTACAGCGAGGGTTTTTTTTGCAGCAGTCCCCTCTCCTGTCCACCACATAACGCTGTGAACACCATTGTGTTTGTGATGGCCCATTGGAGCACAACCCTGCATAGGAATATGACTATCGGCTCATTCTGGGCAATTTTGTCTTCACAGTAGACGTGAATTGGTCGGTTGTTATACTGCGCAAAGATTGCATTGTAGTTCTGCGATGTGTTATCAAGTCGTACTGTGTGTTTTTCGGCAAGACGTCTGAAGTTTTGTTCCACGTGCCAAGAGCTTCAAGACTGTTGACGCTACATGACATGAACGTCGCTTACCCACTGTTGATGTGCTACGTTTTTTTTTTTATTTGCAGGAGGTTCTTGTATCATCTGTGGCACCGGAATGACGGCAAGGGTGGGTCGTCCAGCCCCAGCGGTACACGGGTGCCGGATAAAACACGCGGCGCTCAACACGAAGGCACCGGCAGCCACAGTGAAAACGCCAAGGATGGCGCAGGCGATGGCAGCGGCAGTGTGGCAAACGGCGGGTCGCCGAGCGTTTCGCACACTCGCGGGCGTGCCAACGGGCAGGGCTCGAAGCGTCTGAAGGCCGAGCCGAGGCCGTACAGCTTGCAGGACGAGGCGTCGTTTGCGGCGCGGGCCCTGGCGGAGTCGCCGGGCTCGCTGCAGGCTCGCTCTGCTGCTGCCTACACCAGGTGGCTCGAGTCTGTCGGCGAGCAGTAATGCTTACAGTCCCGTGCGGGAACTGGGGTTTAAACTGGCTGCTGAGTAGATAGAAACAACACCACAATCCTAAACAGAATGTAAACAATACGGTACACAAGCATATTTTCAGCACCCGCGGTGCACTTTGTTTTTTACAGGATATGATATAATGTGGCACAGCTTCCATTTTAACGTTGTTACACGTCCGTATTAATATCAGGTCAGTTGGGCACATTTTTAACTCCACCTGTGTGCCGCAGATATATTTCATCAGCACTTTTTGCATGTGGTTTGTTACTCCTTATTACCCCAATTGGGCATATTTCTGAATGTTAAAGTTATTCAAAATACCACGATGTATAGTATTGTACTATCCAGACTATTGTGCTTCGTGTAAAAAATAATTATTTACAGGTTTAGGTTTAAATGCGCACAGCGTCATGTTTTCACGTAAAGTTATTTTTATGTTTACATAACAAGTGTACGTGCTGTGGGAGTGTGTGGTGTGCCGTTAGTGCAGGTGTGAGATTTTAAAATCTCATCTCCGGTAAATGAGATTAGGAGAGATTACTGCCCACTCACGAGTGGCGAGCCAGCATCTCTTGAGACCCTTTCTTCAAGTCCTGAGTTACTATCTTTGATTTAAAAAAAAGGTAAAAATATATTCTAATTGCGCTTGAATCGGCTGTATGATCAGGATATATAAATTTGCAAAATGGGTATCCATACTGATCAGCACAACTGTAGAACACTGAACAGTTGATGCATTTAAATGGCATTGGAGGATATGGTCTTGTGTTTTCGATTTGTATTGATGTCTCCATCAACAAATTTGACCTGCAATAGCTCTTAATGGGGACAGATTTACTTGGTTCTCAATCAAAAAAACATCCAACCGAACAACTTTGGTTTAATTCTTTCATGTTTTATTTTAATTGAAGGATGTGGTTCGTGTTGGAAGATTAGAATATACAACTGTCAGAAATCTGTCAAAATATGCAAAAGAGGTGTCAGGAGTTCATTTCTTTTTTGCTGCATGGCCGTGGAAAGTGAGATTGGGCAGTTCGACCCAATAGTGGAGTTTAGCTACCTCCTTGGACTGTCTTCCTGTGTTCGTGATTCAAGACACTACTGTCAAGGAAATAAATGCACACTTTAGTAGTTGTAAACTATTGTATATGTAGCTTAACCGCAGCAGTCTAACAATAGTCACTGATGGGTGGCCTGTTTGTACAATTTCAAATCGTTGGATTTCGTTCTTCATTGACCATGCGCATATTTAAGGAGATGTAATTAGAATCTTGACTTAATTATCTTGTCATAATATTAACATGTTTTGGTCCAGGCTTTTGACACGTGCAAATGTATGTACTTGTATGAAATCGTGTTCCATGTTTGAAAACCATGCTGTACAGGCAGCAAAGTCTGATGGGGCTTTTGAAAGGGCTGCCTCAAATCAACACTTGCAAATGTTAAATTACCTGCTATTGGCAAACAGGTCATGGTTAGTGAAGAACATCATCGGCAGGATTCAACGCTTTCCAGATCTGACATGTGGAGCCTGTCGCATGCAACATGTCCCTGTTTGTCACAAGTGTTTGCTCGCATTCTTCATTTACAAAACATTTCTTGTTAGAGCTGCATTGGAAAGCACGTGTTATATGATTACAATTATGCCCATCAACCATTTTGCCTGCTAGACGTTCTGACACAAACGCGCCGTTGCTGCATCAATACCCGGAATATATAGCCGTAGGACTGCCGAAGATACATTTGCAAAACACTTAATTTTAATGTTTTTCCTCATGTAAAAAGTTTTTCACAACTCCCAAACGGAAGACGCAAGAGAAGTGCAAGTTCACTGCAGACTATCGATGCTTACGTTTGAAATTTACCAGCTGCTGAATCTCTACTTCACTCGATTAAAACCGGTATAAACTACGATTCTGCACTCACAAGTATGGTTGGATGTGGTCCGTAGATTATTTATCATCAATAAATGTATGCAACTCTGAATCCATTGCTTTTATTGAAACCACGTCAATCATTTCTACTTACATGAACACTGCCTGGAATAAAAAAAAAACTCGTCTGTGCCTTGTGGGTGTTAAGTAGATGCTTGTGTTAATTGTGCAGTCAAATTTACACATTAAAATACCAGTTGGACACTCATTGCTTATTTGGTGAAACAAGATATGTCCTGTTTCATAAATGCAGGTAATAAAGTACATTCTATTTTTAAACCAAACACGGAACAAAGCATGTATTACTTTCAAACGTGTTCCCAGGTATTTGCAGTACTGATGCTGTTGGGTCGCCTTTGGGAGAAAACGTATTTGTATATTTGCAAATAGTTATTTTGGCGTTGTTTTTGGGGCTTTGCTTTTATCAATTTGGAAGGTTTTCTGTCGGGAAACTCCCTAATCAGAGCATAACTTTCAGGTACGATATTGATATAGGGCCTTCATGTGAGCATTTACAGACGGACAGCTAATGTATTAACGCTTTCAAATATTGATGGAAAGCATAAAAAATTACAGCTGTCAGAGCTGCGAATTCCAGTTATTCAACAAGGATTACTGTGCTGATATCTAATGACCTTCCGTAACGCAGTATTAATGGTTAAGGTGGTGATTTTTTTGCGTGCTAAATTACTTCTAAACCTATCCATAGCAGTGGGTGACAGTTAATGTCTCGAATACGGGCACTGCTTTTGGCGGCTTGAACGCTTTTTTTAGCTAATCTGTGTCCAGGTGAAATTTAATCAACCTGCTGATGGCTGGACCTTCATGTTTAAAATGCCAACACGGGGTATGACCTCGAAACACGAAGTAACTGTACTGTTTGTTTAAGCATTCACCAGTGGGTGTCGCTGTACACAAATGACTGCTACAATCCGATGTTATTCAGGGATTGATCGGTGTTACTCGATTCACGAGTGGTATTGTGATGCGTTACGCCTACACGTGATAATTCGCCAAACCAATCCAATGAGTGTAACCTGTTGCCAACCGCCGGTTGTCCAAACGTGTCCGAATGCCACTTACTCCCGTGCGTTGTTATCTTGTGGCTGGCTCGCGCACGTATTCGTGTGAAAGTTTAAAGAAATTACTGAATGTGAAATCGGTTGTTTTGTCAGGCGGAACGACACGCTACGGCTTGGCCGCTGGCAGTGCCGCAATAGGTGATGTCACTGCGCGTGTTGGACTAAGAGTGTGTCGAGTGTGTTTGGTTATTTGAAAGCGGTCTTCCGGCATCTGTAGACCATATGGATCATGAACACTGGATCCAAATTCTGCAAGTCGCATTTTACGTATTTCGTACAGTTTTGAGACCTATAATTTACACACCAACCTGGTTTCATTCACTTCTAGGACTGAACGACTTATCACCAACAACGCTTAAGGAATGACAACAATATTATTATACCAATATTAATACTCGTAAAACTTTTGCTTCTAGCAATGTTTACCAACTCATTTGCGTTTCATACAACATTGTACATTTCCTCTTAATACCATATACAGGTATTTGAATACGTGTTATAGGTAGGGCCCTTAATAGCTAATTAGCATTCCGGTTCGCCAGCAGTAAAGGGCACGGTAAGAATAGAATCAAAAGACCACGCCAACTTACATCTCTGAATCGATTAACTGTATTGGCTTTCCAGCCACACAGGATTCGAAAACGAAAGCACCAACTTTAGCAATGCATTCCGCAAGGGTGGTGCTATATATAGTGTGCGTGGATGTATGTGGGTGCCCATTGGTGTTTGCGACATCCTATTGACGCATTCTTGGCCCCTGCGAGCTCAAGTCTCGTGGCCGCCCACGAATCAAAACAAAGAGCCAAGCTGCATAACAACGTCCCCCAAGTCAGGTTGACGTGACATTTACAATACGTGTTATTGTTGATGATTTTGAAATCGTGCACAAGGTATTCGTATAGCATGCGGACATTGGACCTGGGACAAATGCGTACTGCTGTAAATGTTTGTCCTGTTTGTGCTGTTTGTATCGCGTCTGTTGAGATGGGTGATCACGAATGCGCACCACGTTCTCAAACTGCGCGAATAAATGAATGGGGGATTGAATGAATAACTTGTTTTAAAAAGCAGTCTTAATGAGATTCAGTCGCATTGAAATGTCATTCCGATGTTATTGTGTTGACTCGCACACACAAAACCCGGATTGACGTCCACTGTTTGTGCCTTTTGAGATGGTTCCATGGAGATACTCTGTAAATCTGAGTTGTATTGACTAACCCAGACTCATAGACGCACAACATTACGACTCACATAGAAAATCATTGAGTCATACAGTGGTCCATATACACTACTGTAGAATACTCACATGTACAATGACAAATATAACCCGTATAGCCTCAAGAGACTCTTGGGGCAAGTTTTGTTAAGGACATATGAAGGCCGGTACGGCACACACGAAGGGGGGGGGGGAGGCATCACACACCCGGATGCCTTTGTCTTCCCAGTACTGATGCTTAACACATCGGCCCAGAACTGGCCCTGATAATCGTCACTCGTGTTGGCCGTGAGCTGGAATGGAACTCGGGTCGCCAGGTTCGTAGCGCAGCGTGCTCACCGCTCCACTGCGCATACGACTCCCCCATATCGACCCTCGGACTCGCACACAAAGACGGATTTACGCGCGCCTCTTTCTTTCTGAAACATAAATATATGTCCACTGTTTCTTTAACAGCATCTTCAGATTATCTCGCATTTCTGGGCCAATATATAAATGTAAATTGGTTTTGAATTTTCGGACAAAATGAGGGTGGGTAGGTGGTGGAGGAGAAGGATGGGGGTTTGGTGGTGGGGGGGTGCAGGGCGGGCTTGTGAATGAAGATCAATCCCTCATCCAGTTTCTCACCCAGCATAGAAGAAGCCACTGCCTCTTACAAGCACGCCCACTGGTTCCCGTCCCCCCACCTCCCACCAGCGCTGGAGGAGGGAAGTGGGGCGAGCGAGTGAATGAGTGTGCAGAGAGTGTGCAAGAGAGTCATCGGTGTCAGCACGTGTTCGTCTCGCTCACGGTGTCCGGTGGTCGCGTGCCCTCTGCTCGTCGTTGGTGAGTGTCCGCTCGCTCGCTCGCCTTCAACTTGACACAACTCGCTCGGTTGCCCAAAAGCTTGCCAAAACCGGAGGCCAAGTTGAGACGGATAAGACTGTGAATTGAGCCCCCAAACCCCCCCCCCCTCCAAAATATAAAAAAGAGTCGAGCTCAACACGTGCTCATTCTTGAGTTTCAAAAGGTCACGTTTTCGAGAGCACCACCAACTTCACGAGGAAGGGCAACTTTTACCCGTATGGTCTGCAGCAATAACGAATACGACATTACTACTACTACTACACACGTAAAGTACGTGTAAAGTACACGTTGAGCGTTCTTTGTCGCAGAGTCTGTACGCAATTAATAGTGCTTGACAATTCGTGCATCCACTCTTTTTTCTTTTTAAAGGTCGTTTGGAATGTCTGGGCCGTCCTGCGGACGTGTGCTGGCTCTGCTGGGCATCTGCCTGGTGCTGAATGGACGAGTTGCAGACAGCGCCACCGGTAAGAAAAGTTTACCCCCCACAACTAAGACACGCATCACAGTTGTATCAACAATTGTGTTCCAGTTCTGCAATTGCTCTCGTGTGTTTCTAAGACGCACCGCAAATAGTGTGCACAGTGTCAATAAGGTTATTCAAACTTGGTCTCTTTCTCGCACACTCACGCACATGCGTACCGGCTTATAAGATGCACCTCGCAACTTTAGATTTCAAATATGGGGGGGGACGGTTAATTTCATAGCATGTCTTTGGGATTAGTGACTGCCATTTATATTCTGCGGTTTGCGGTCAAATGTCTCGAGCAATGTGGATGTCGACTTGCAGACAAAGTAATGTCGGGGCATGAACCAAGCACAGTAAGCTACGGGCGGTGTCCTGGTGAGAACACCGCACTATGGAATAACTCGGGCAACCTGGGTTCGATTCCAGTTCCACAGCAAATATTCGTGCCGAGATTTGAACTGCTCCGGTTAAACAAGCCCCAGATGGCCAAAAATGCATTTGGAGGCCTTCATCCACCAGTGAGTTGACAAAGGGCTCTGAACTAAATGACTCATTAAAATATAAATGCATGAAGATATAATCTTACTAAAAATGTACCTGTGCGTTTTATATTAACATTTTGTTGGAGCGTATTAGCAGTGCAGTCATTATACGTGGTATGAGATATAGTCATACAATACCGGGTGTGGTGTTGGCCACCCACACCCTCGTGTGCCACAGTGCCGGCCTTCACAGGTGCTCGGGAACAGCAATTGCCCCACAGTCTGTTACAGGCAATACGGGGAGGCATTTGTCATACAATAACAATTATTCATTTACACGGGTAAGCCACACTCTTGTAGGAGTGTCCTGCATTGAATGTTTTATATTAAAATGGTTTCAGCCAGCCGCTGAATGTCTATGCATACCATTTTTTAAATTCACTACAAATCTTGCCCCCTTCAAAAGGAGGCTTTTGCATGTTTTATTTTTACATCTGATCCAGCTTAATTGTTATGAACTCGGTCACATTTCCATTAAAGTGCTTACAGGTTTATAACGAAATGTGCATACTTCTGCAGATTATAATACTCCAGTGAATAAAGCTGTTCGCAGTTAATGGTGTGATATACAATTTTTGTTTATACATTTGCGTGACTTTTTTCATGAACCGATACCAAAACAATCCAGATAATATCTGAAACGACGGGATAGCCAGGCTGGGACTTGTTAAAATAATTTGTTTTCAATATATATACCCGCATATAAGAATGAGACCCAACAAGGGGACATGTTTGTTACTGTGAAATATCAGAGAGTTGCAACACAACCAACCCCATCTCTTCTCTCTTGCCCATCCTATTCCTGCTCCCCCAGCCCCCAGCTATATGTATGACCAGACATACTTCAACCCCTTTCACGATCCCAACCCCAACCCCCCGTTTAACCTCTCCCACCTGTTCTTAACTACACCAACATTTTCAATAACCCCCACTCTTTATTTTAACCACTGTCATCTCATGTACAATTGTATAGCTGTTGTAAAGCGCCTTGGGCTAAGGCGCTGCTATATACATCTGTATAGGATAAGTTGTTGAGAAGTGGATGATGCTTTGTGTGAAAACCTTGTGTGATACGGTAGAACCTCGCATATCCGACCGTCGCATATCCGACCTGACCAATTAATCACCCCGCACCGAAGCCTTTACGGCATTTCTGTACACGGCGGCGTAACGCTCGTGTTCTCTGTGTCTTCACAAATCTAACCTTTATTTTTCACACACTCATATGTTCTTCTTAATCCTGCGTGAATTCGCTCCTAAATCACAGTGAAGCATTCCCCACTAAATTTAAAGCGGTTTTCAGCTTTACTTTTGTCGAGTAGCCCGTTTTGTGCATGCTGGTGTAACCGTCATTGCATTTACTTAATTTCTGTGCGTGGTGTTACAAGTTAATTGCTTATTGCTTTTTAATTTGATTATGAAATAGTCCCCTCCAACCCAGAATCACGGGACAAACTGTGACATATCCATATGGCCATGGTTTAGCGATAAGTCAACTTTCACCCAGATGTGCCAAGAGAAATGGTTGGTCGCCCAAAACTCCCGATTCAAGGACGTCTGCAAGCGTGCCCTAAGAGACTTTCAACATCAACGGCAATCAGTGGGAAGTTCTGGTAGGTAGGCGCACGTGGTTACGATATGTACGCTGGCTTCAGCAGCTCCGGGACAAGCGTGCGGTGTGTACACAGCATGGCACCTACCGGCGTCGTCAATCAGTCAGCGGCCATGACAGGACCAGAGGCATTTTTTCAAGATGGGACAACTGCGGCGGCTGGCGATGTCGAACCGGAATCGGCTGTTACAGTCATTACAGGAAATGTTCAAATCAATTTAAATCCTGTCCGAAAACTGAAAACCCATCGTCTTCCAATGACAAAAGGATGCCATTGTAGATGTTTTGTTGTTATCGTATTGTGTTACATACTGTTTAAACAAAGTATGTGTCGAACCAAATGTCATGCTTAAAAATTCACACGTATTCCCTGTTTTTTTTTTCACAGGAGAGCCTCACTGGTCGTACACGGGTGAGTCATTGAGTCTTTGTGTTGTTATGTCAAAGTGTTGCTCAGTTATGACTATTCCGAAATTATTTTCATCCGTCCTTTGTCATCTGTCAAATGGTAAACTGTTCAAGGGGTGCATATTCTTGGTTCTTTCGGTAAAGTCACGTAGAAGGGAAATAATAAAATAATAATATTTCCCTTCTACGTGACTTTACCGAAAGAACCAAGATTATGAATCCCTGCAGTCACGAAAGCTTTAAATCGAAAAATGTTCAAGGGGTGGTTAACACGTTTTTGGAAAAAGCAGCTTTCAAATAAATTGTGTTCATCATCATCGTCAGCCATCATCTATCCACTGCTGGATGCAGGCCTCCCCCCAGGCCATCACCATCTCACACTCCCTCTGGCACAATTAATCTAGCTCCTGCACGTGAGCTTATCGCATTGCTCCATCTCCATGGTGATCGTAATCTTGGGCTTATTTTCTACTCTGACAGCCATTCCATCCGTCACCAGTGTCGTAAATTGGCCATCGTTCCTTCTTGAGATGTGCCCTGCCCTTTGACCTCTTACCCTTTCCTAACAGTCGTCTCACTCGGGTCCCTCGGTGTAATTACACTTCCCCGCGCTTCTTTAGGGCACGGTCATCAATTTGCTCCGTTCTTGTGAGTTTCCTTATCTCTCAATGTTTCATGATAGCACACTCGGTAGCAAGAATTCCACTTTATTCTGCAATACACTTGGACATTGCTGGTCAGTGTTCGTCGAGTAATAGGACTCGTGACATCAAAGGCAAAGTTGAAGGACTGCACCACCGCTCACGCTACCCGTGGAACGGTTTCACGGTGACATTTGAATACTTTTAATTTAGATGCAGGTGGAAGTTGATGCACGCATATTATTGTTTTTTATTTCGAGGTGTTTCATATGCAATTGCTTCCTCATGGAAAACTGTTCACACGGTAATTGAAAGTGGTAATTTGTAAACCTCAAAATATCTCTGTTTCTTCAGGGCCCTTATAATGGTTTGCCAGATTATGGCGCTATTGAAATTGTTGTTGTTATTATTATTATTAATTCGAGTGCAGTTTCCGACGACACGTCAGTCAATCTGTGGGTCCTCTCTGCCGTAGAAAAGTAAAACCCAAAATGGTTGAAAAACTACCGTATTGTCGACCCATTGTTTTATACTAATCAATTTATCTTACGGAGGAGAGGGTTAATAAATGTTATGAGCGTATTGAGATTGCGGGGAGGGCGAAGATAAGTATTGAAAATTAAATATAGTTTCATACGTAATTTCTCCAGTTATTTTAGTCCGATATGCACTTTAGAGGGTTGTCCATTTCCAGTGTTGTCGTAGGGAATAAACTTAACATGTTGTTAGTCTTCAGCCTTAAGTTACTCGCGTAAAAATGATTTGCACCCTTTCTTCTTTGCTTAAAGACGTTATCGTCGAATGAATCTTCACACATCTAAAGAAACGAAGAGGAAGTGTTAGTTCAGCTTGAAATGTGAGCGTGTTGCCACTTAAATGGGCCAAATTGTACATACAGAATCGTCCTGCATCTTATATTCCGTAGCAAGGCAATGCTCTTGATGAATGTGTGTTTTTGTTTGTCTGGAAAGAGTACATTTGGAAACAAACTGACCAGGCAAAGGTGATTTCTCCTCTCCTGCTTAAAATCCTTTGACCACCAATTGTGTGAGCAAATACCCCGTGGAATGTAAATCGGTCTCCAGCGAATGCGCAATTAAGCAGCCTCCAACGGAACACGAGCCCAGAGATGTTCACTTTGCCACTCATTCGCCTGCCAAGCCTCTGAAGCAATTCGCTGACTGGTTCTGTTGAGAAAACTCCAGCAGTTGTTCGCGAGCGAGCGAGGGAGGGAGGGCATCTCAAATGTTTGTCTCTTGTTGAGCGGGGTGCGCTCAGGTTGGTTAAAGTTTAGTGGCTTCCAGTATCAGCCAGGTCAAACCACTCGCTGTGACATTGTGAGAATGTGGCCGTTGATTTTATTTTACTTCCTCAGCTTGTTTTACACATAAATTTGCTCGTCACCTATTTATTCAGGTTACCTAAGCAAATATATACGCACCTCCAATTATCACGGTTGGCTACATACGGCGCTTAAGAAGTTCAGCATACATACGTATTTCCTCTTTCACTTTGTGCACTTGTGTGTGTGCTCGTTTTGCGTGGCACAGGTGTGTTTTACGTTTGCTGTCCTTGGTTGGACAGAACATTTTTGAACAAAATCTTGTTGGCTGGTAGTGGTCATCTACACTCGGCCTCCCTTTCTCCTCCACCTATGACTCTGTGTTCTTTAAAATTAAACACATTTATAAAGGTTTTCTTTAGCCTGTGATGTATGCCCGATTGTTTTGTGTAGCCTCTTTATATCGATTAATCAATCAATATTTATTCGTTACATAGAAAGACCAATTCAGCCAGTTACCCAGCTAGTTTGCAAGGGAGATTCGTGGTTCATCAGAGATGCAGTTTCATGTAGAGGTGCACGTACATCGACATTGTTGTCATCGTCGTCGTAAATGTAAACGAACATTCCAGATTAGGAGTGCAACAGGCAGGTGTTTAATTCGTATCCTGCGGGACACAATATTGCTGGTACTGCTGTGGTGTAGCAAGAACAATTGTTGGCGGAAAAAAGGCACGCTCGGGCATATGTGACATAATAAAGGCTTTTTGGGTTAGATCGCGTTATTTATTAATGTGTCGTAACCCTCCACCACCCGACACGGCCAAACAGTAAAAAATGTGTCACGTTTACAAAGGACAAAATAATTCACTTCTTTAGCCCACCGGTGTGTTGTTTGGCCGTGTCGGGTGGTGGAGGGTTACGACACATTAATAAATAACGCGATCTGACCCAAACACCTTTATTATGAATAACATTGGTCGCGAAAGCCTACGTGTTAAACGTATATGTGACATAACTGACCTGGTGCAAGCGACCAAATTTGGTGGAGAGGTCAGAAATTGTTTGCATGCTTGAGATCGAAGGTCATCGCATATCTGACGGCTCCACTAAAGCTAGAAACATCCTGATATGCTCCCGTGTTGTGGTTAACCCAACTCGTACTCGCTGGCTCGAGACAAACAAACAACGACTCCAGGTATGCTGTGATGAGCAGCCTGTTGGGCAGTGCACTTGCTTGTCATTGACACAGGCGCAGTCTGCTGTTGTTTTGGAGGCTGTTGCCAGGCGTTTGGAGTGGGCTTTTTTAGCAGACCTGGGATGAATAAATTGTAATAATAATGGCATCAGATATCAGCTGAAATTACCACTACATAGTTATTTAGATTAATTGAGAATAGCACTGTTAAAATTGTAATTGACCCCAGGTCTGGGTTTGAGTGGTTAGTTAAAGTCTGTTTCATAATACACAAAGGCATGTTCATATAAACAGCATGAAGTTACAACTCCCACCAGACCTTGCATGTCTTGTGATGATGATTATTCTTTTGTACAGCCAATGAAGAGCAACGATTAAAGATTCAGCTCTAAGTGATTTAACCCTTACATTCCTTTGTCTGAGAGTTTTTGAACTGCAGACACACCACCTTAAAATGTGTGTGAAGTTATTTGGTTCATGGGTTGGTGCTTCTTTGCTGCAGAATAGAGACATTTATTTTTCACCTTTACATGAGGAATTCGCATCTCCTGTGGTTTGTGCGGATCCGGTGAAGCGCTGCTCATTGTTTCAATGGAAGACAGAAGCCAGGCAGGGAGGTGGTGGGCTCGCTGATGCGCTGCGTGTTGTGGAAGCCGTACGGTGTGGTGGTGGGCTCGCTGATGAGCTGCGTGTTGTGGAAGCCGGGCAGTGTGGTGGTGGGCTCGCTGATGAGCTGCGCTTTGTGGAAGCCGGCCAGTGTGGTGGTGGGCTCGCTGATGAGCTGCGTGTTGTGGAAGCCGGCCAGTGTGGTGGTGGGCTCGCTGATGAGCTGCGCTTTGTGGAAGCCGGGCAGTGTGGTGGTGGGCTCGCTGATGAGCTGCGTGTTGTGGAAGCCGGCCAGTGTGGTGGTGGGCTCGCTGATGAGCTGCGTGTTGTGGAAGCCGGGCAGTGTGGTGGTGGGCTCGCTGATGAGCTGCGTGTTGTGGAAGCCGGGCAGTGTGGTGGTGGGCTCGCTGATGAGCTGCGTGTTGTGGAAGCCGGGCAGTGTGGTGGTGGGCTCGCTGATGCGCTGCGTGTTGTGGAAGCCGGGCAGTGTGGTGGTGGGCTCGCTGTTGAGCTGCGTGTTGTGGAATCCGGGCAGTGTGGTGGTGGGCTCGCTGATGAGCTGCGTGTTGTGGAAGCCGGGCAGTGTGGTGGTGGGCTCGCTGATGAGCTGCGCTTTGTGGAAGCCGGCCAGTGTGGTGGTGGGCTCGCTGATGCGCTGCGTGTTGTGGAAGCCAGGCTGTGTGTTGGTGGGCTCGCTGATCAGGTGTTCTTGGGGCACGATGCTTGAATTCCACGAATTATTCCATTCCATTTAGATGCTGAACTTCGAGTGATGTAGAGGTTGTGCCTGTTTCCAAAACGGCTGTCTGGATCTCAGCCGTGCATGTGGAATGTTATTTAGATCACCTTTGATTGGCAGAATTGGGTCAACTTCTGAGCAGTGCAGTTCACGTAGAGTTGCAACTTTGCAGCAATTATCTGGCGTTGCAATATTTGCGAGTACAGGAAGCCGGGGCAATTCCGCAGATTTAAAAGTTTGTCCGTATTGCGATGTTCAGTTGGCTGTCTATGCGATGTAATCACCTCATGGCGCGTACAAAGCTGTTAGCCTTCCGCCAGCTCTGGAGCTGAACGTGTAGCCATATTCACTATGAGACATCTCCTTTACCAGTGGCAAAATATAGTAGTAGGTTTTTACCCTTTAAACTGGTACAAAACTGACACCTTTATACAAGGCATCATGTTTGCAACTCTGATAACATTATCAGAGTTGTTTCTTTTTGTTTGCATTTTGACTACTTGTGTTGTGGTTATGGCAAACATGATGCCTTGTATAA